CCMAARKTKGGKWAAAAAAAAAAACTTTAAAAAGTGAATTTTGCATAATTGGTCCCCTTTAAGAAGACACTGTTCTGAGTATTATTTAATCTGAGAACTTCTTGCTGATATTGAAAACTGAAATCACACGTTCTACTMCAGGTACGATACTGACTATTCAGACGTGCTCTACACAATCCAGCTTTTGCAATGTCTCATTTATTTTCTTATTTCTGACGTCAGCACAATTTTACTGTTCCTCTTATTTACTATAATCTTTAGTGTCCATCCAAACTTCTGAACTGAAATCACACAGTCACATAACCTCAAATTGAAAATGTYCACACAGCCTTTTGACAATTTTTTAGCCATGTGTACTGCAATGTGCTTTTTTGTTCTTCATAATATTTTAGCAGCCCTACTCTCCAAAAAGGAAGTTAAGGGCAGCTGGGGGTTCATTGTCTTGAACAACTACATTGTTAAAAMGTGTTAAAGTGCTGCGATCAAACCCCCGATTTTCTTAATTTAACACCTCATCTTTATTTCAGCACTAAACTAAAATCAAATCTTTGATGATATTTGCTTTATGCCATGTAGCACGCAAGGTGCAGTTGTATGCTCCTCAGCACTTCCTTTTTACCTCATGTGACCAAGTAAAGCTTGTCAGAGAGATGCCAAATCACCTTAGGCTGGATCTAAGCAGAGCTCAATCCGACTAATCTGACAAAGCACAACCACACGTTTTATTTATTTATTTATTTATTTATTTATTTTGTGGGGCGGGAGACACTTCCATTCATAGTCCCCAGCATTGGCAGATATTGTGAAGTGGGTGAAATCCCAGCTTGGTAAAGCTGGCACAGTAACCCAGCGTCCTGGATCCCTTCCACTTCAGAGAGCTCTGCCACATGCTAACTGTCACCCACAAGGCAATGCAAACCCGAAGGGGGTCTGACAGCATGGGAGGGTGGGGGTGGGGTGGGGGTGGTGCTATAAACATTGGGAAAGACCCCTTACTTATAAACAYTGGACTCCTTAGAGATATAGCACCAGAGGCAAAAACGAGGTGATTATTATTTATGCTGCCRCTTCTCTGAGCTGAGCTTCTTGTTCTTGCACAACTGGCAGCTGCCCAGAATGAATTGTCCATGGGATCCACAGCAATGATGAGCCTCCCCAACCTCACACTTACAGTATGCACACACAAACACATCCTTGTTCTCATCSCTGTCTACGCCTGCTAGATCCCCTGGCATGCTGGCTCCTCCTTCATAAACACAAGCAGCTGCTCAGGCAATTAGCCATTAGCTCTTTACTTTTTACTATAATACCCAATCCTCAGAAATCCCCACAATTAGCTCCTTAATTGCCTCTAAACAAGCCAGGCGTAACCAATAAATAGAAGAAGGGGGTAGGTAGTTTGGTTAAAAGACAGACTTCAGGGGAAGGAGTGGACAAGCTGGGAAAAGTCCTCTTCCCCGCCTTGTGTCGCCTTCGGCAGTTTTCTTTTTCTTCGGTTTTGACATAGTTATGGAAGGCTTGCAGAGGAGGGGGAAGATAAGAGAAAAAAACATGATGGCTCATATTCAAATTTAACCTGACACATCCATGCCCTTTTTTCTGTGGTCTAACTATCACTTCTGAGAAATGCTAACATTCAGTGTGACAGAGGGTGTTACAATGACTTTTCGACGGGCGGGAGACCATGGCCCCCGGGTGTGGATTTTTGTTGCAGCGTGATATGACACAGCTCGCTTCATGGAGCAATAGGGATACCCCCAAGATTAGCTGAATGCATTAAGGCAAGGCATAAAATGCAGTTAACTGTTGATTAAATCACTCTTACATTCATACTGGCAGTTCCAGTTAACCTCTTTAACATTGACAGCAGCTACGCCACTAACATGACAATGGTCTTTGGGCATAAAGGTGCTGTTTAGGAGTCTACAGCATCACAACGCACAAATTTATTTTTGATAAAGTGGTAAAGAAAGATTTTTTATAAGGATAACATGATCAAAACTAATTATTCAACAGACCAAAAAAACAATAGTTCATGGATTTTAGCCACATATACAGTATATCAGTTGATTTTTTTTTCCTTTTAAGTGTGAGAAACTGTATTTTTTTCTTTAACGTCACAATCTATTCAATTTTAGAAATCTATAATATATTTTCTTCACTTTTGTTGTTTTATTTTAAAATTGCAGTTTAAGAGAGTTTAAATGCTGTATAGTTGTCAAAATCATCATTTTTAAATTGTATTTAGAAATGATTTTGTAACACATTTCTGGTTTGGCTCAACTRTTTCGTTGGTTGCTGATAATGTGCAACAAAAGTTTTAATTCTTCTTTTTTTCTGCRGCAACAACTCAAGTGTGTCAAAAATTAAAATGAGCCTCTGAAGCTGTGGTTTCCCCTGAGCCTCCACATAKCTTATTGTTATGGGTTCCTAGAAATCTGCTAATATTTTAACAAAGGAGGTCGAAGCTGCAACAGGTCGTCTGTTCCCAACACTTTTTGGCATTCAATGAAAGAAAAGCAGCTGATTGGCTGTTCACTTTCTTCCTACTGATGAACCGCTTCCAAATGAAAACAATCAAAGCAGAATCAAGTGTAATCAAGAGCAATAATTTACTGCTCACGTATGGGAGCTGTCTATTGTAAAATACTTTTACTTCCGCAAAGCATTTTGGGTTTTTTTTTTCTGACGATGTCTGCATCTATTCTTCACAGGCTTTGATTATTGTGTCTTTTTCCAAACACACACACACACACACACACACACACACACACACACACACACACAC